AATAGTCCTTTTTTTCCATATGTTGCGAGCTTTTGTTTTATTATTATTATTGCCACAGCCCATATACAAACACAGACAACAATTATTTTATCGACGGGCAAAGTTTGCACATAAATGTAAGATTTTTCCGATCCTCACCGAGGCTCGTCATAAACCCCGTTTAATTGATAGTGCGCGTCCTCGGCGCTCCTTGCTTTGTCACCTGCGGCCGCGGTGCGACACTGGTGGCTGGTGTTGCCAGATTGGGTGTTTTTTCGCTACATTTTCGCTACGTTTTTTCGCTACAAGTTTACATGTGTTTTAGCCAGGTTTTCGCCTGGAAGGCTCTATAGAAATCAATCTGGCACCCTATGTACAAAGTTATACTGAGAGAGAGCGCACGTTCACAGACACCAGAATAAACGTGTTCACAGTAATGTTCATCAGGCAGTAATACAGTATATGAACGCGTTCAGGCACAACACTGGGGAAGAGACACGTCTGCAGCGGCCCATAACAGTGCAGAAACACGTTAGAGTTAGCGTGTATTGCCTAGCTACAGGTGCGTGCAATGACGTGCGGGTCGGATATATGTGACCTGGCCGTTCAGATTGAAGTCGCATTTCAAAAGATCGGATACATATCGGATTTGGACCACATACCCAAGTGGCCTGGGTCGCATTTGAAAAGATCGGACCTGTGTCATTCAGACTGTCATGAAAAAATCAGATACAGGTCGCATAGGGGCAAAAAAATCGGAATTAGGTCGTTTCAGGCTGCAGTGTGAACATAGCCTTAGAAGCTCTATAAAGAGGTATACTTGCAAAGTTTTATGTTCTCTCATGTGTTGCTGCGGTCCTAGAACGGCCTGTCCCGGCCGCGTGCGTGAGCGGATGTTCTTTGTTGCGTGTGCACGCAGCTGGCCCTCTGTGTTCCGTGAGGTGTCACATGGCCTTCGGCGCGCGTGTGTTGAACAGAGGTTAAAGTCTTTGAGGAAACATTACCAAAGGAAATAGTTCGGCTAAGTTCACTTCCTTTCCTGGGAGGTGAACTTGGTAAAATACTTAAGAAAAAGACTAAACTTTTAGATAAAACAAAAGAACCGAAAGGATTTCCAGAGGGGAAATCGAGTCAGAGACTACATGGCTATAAGGCAGACGTAGAGACCAGTGGAGCAAGAGAGCCACTGTCCTTTTAAAGGGACCATGCCCCATCCGGAGCAACCTCTCTCGTGCATAAATCCTGACTTTTCAGCGAGTGACTTGTTTTGATCGCTAGGTAGCTCTCTGCTTGTAGATGCAGCTAAAATTTAGGTTAATTACATCAATCTAATAATAATATGTAAGGCCTTTACATTGTAGAAAGGGTAGCATCAACCAGGTCAACATATACAGTATATAACTCTGTCCTGAGCTTTCTTATTCAGAAACAGGTTTAGTCATACTGCAATTTGGATTTCTTTTTAACCAAAGCAGAATAGATATCGGTACAGATTAGAAGCTGCTGAAATGAGATTCCGTTGTCACACAGGCTTACGCTTAAATGCTGAAGTTACTGATACCGTTGGAAATCTAAGACTCTTTTACTTAAAGTAGAGATGTCAATTCCAGCTATCGTTTTATCTGCATTTAGACAAGCCAGCATTCAAAATGTGTATTGCACATTGTGTTCTAGTTGGATTGCAACGATCAAATGCATGCCTGTAGGTTAACAGTAGTTTAAAGCTCAGGTGGTTTTCCTATACTTTGGCGTTTGGCGTCAAGGTGACGTATGCCCTATTTGGAGCTAGTGTTTTTTTTTTTTGTTTTTTTTTTTGTAACCCTTCATTGTCATGAAACCTAATGTTTAGCTGTGCCAATTCAACCAGCATCTAGAAACTGTTTGTTTCAAAAGAGTCGTGTATAGTCTGTTGACAGGTGAGCCTTAAACTTCCATTCAAGATTTTCTCTAAATAAGTACAATTCAAATTTTGCTAATGCAGGGTCTTGCTGCTCTGTGAGCACACATTTTCATCTACTTTTTCATCTAAAAATTGTGTGTCCTGTGCTGACCAGGGACTTTTAGCAGAGCCTTGCATGGTGTTCATGCTGTGTGCCTTCTAGTTTTGCAGTTCAGAATCAATAGGGTCCTAGGAACCCTTCTGAGGAGGCCTTCTGTGTTAGAGGCCTTCTGCGTTAGGTCATGCATCGTTGAATGGGCATTGCGTGGGGCAGGCGAAAATATGGTGACTAATGGGTTTTGGAGTAAAAGTTCCTTGAAGCTGGTGTCCTCCTCAGTCACAGGTTCGTTGTAAGTTCCACAGAAAACCCGTTCGGAGTCGGTGGTGGTAGCACAGGCCCTTCTAGGTCTGTCCTGCTGGGTGTCTGGGCTGGGCCCAGCTGGGCTGGCTGTGTCCAGATTAGATGGAGTCTGTATCAGTGTGCCACACCGGTTAGAGACTGCAGGTGAAAATCAATGTCTTGTAGATTGGCAGGAGTGTTGTGAAAGGTGGGCTTTCAACCCCCTTTTCAGCTCTTGTGCTTTGGCTGAACGGTGCAGACTGGTCAGGGGAAACTTCTGGTGTGTGTTTCCCCTTTTTCGGTCACGCTGCAGTCTATAAGAGTGTTGCAACTCTTATTGAAAGTGTTAAGTTCGTGTTTGAGATAGGGCTGCAACTTACGACTATTTTAATAGTCGACTAGTCACCGACTATTGAAACGATTAGTCGACTAATCGAATAATTATGAATTTTTTCTAAAATTTAGCATGAGATTGCTTTAATTATGTGAAAAATGATAGTAAATACAAGAAAGAAGGGGGTACTTCAATGAAAAAAATGCATATTTTATTGAACTTTGCTGCTGATAGGCTAATTCATACTAAAAGTAAATAAAAATGCCCTGTCTAAAACCAATTAGGCACAGTGCTTGGTCAGTATAGACATAAATATATAAAAAGAGAAACTATCATTTTTATAAAGGACAGGCACATTTGTTTTATAAGAAAAAATAAATTAAAATCAAATAAACATTTTCTTCCTGTAAACCAGGGACAGGCAGGCACATTAGCAGCAATAAAACAGTAAACAAAAATATTAAGTGCATTTTGTAAGATACATTCAGTGGTCAATCTGTTGCAAAAGAACTTTACAACTCGTGATCCAAAACAAAACGTATTGGCTTCCATGTTATTTACCCGTATTTTCCGCACTTTAAGGCGCACCAGATTATAAGGCGCACCTTCAATGAATGACCTATTTTAGAACATTTTTCATATATAGGGCGCACCAGATTATGAGGCGCATAAGATACTGCAGTCAAACGTTTGACTGGGTTTGCGTTATGCATCAACTAGTTGTGCTGAGAATGTAGCGAGTGCGCGGCTTCAGAGGTGAGGCGTTTATTAATGTGAGCGTGCTGGGGCGGGCACGTAACTTACATTCGCAGCCTGACTCATGAGTATTCAATGTGCGGCGGCTCGCTGACAGCAACAGCTGGCTGTTTTGAATGAGACGACCCTGTTACTGTGAACGGGGAGCGCTTTATGAACATTCTGTGACGTGCGAGCAGCGCCAGGGACAGTGTGTCTGTTCGTGTGTCTGCCAAGAGTGAGCGCTCGTGAGCGGGAGACACACATAACCTGATTTATACGAGGTTGAACTAGCCGTGTGACAAAGCGGGCATAAGATGGACGCGGAGCATTGTTAACTAATTGATCCATATACAAGGCACTCTGGATTATAAGGCGCACTGTCGTTAGTGCCACTTATAGTGCGGAAAATACGGTAAATCTTACCGAGGCGAGTCAAACTCCATTTCATTCAACTGTCTGACGTGCTTTCTCTTTAAATGTTCGTGCATCACCGAGGTGCTGCCGTGATATGCAAGGACTGCTTTGCAAACCATGCAGGTAATCTTTTTATTCACCGTATCCAGGCTAAAATGCTCTCAAACTTTAGATGTTTTGGTATGTGCAGCTGGTGCGCATAGCTGCTGCATTGGACACCACCATTTCTGTATGTTATCGCTAAGCAGAGAAGCTAAGCGCATGTGCGACTCGGCAGAGGTTGTAATGAAGAGAGATGCCTCGGTCGGAACAAAAACATGTCTGGTGACAACTTCGACAATGAAATTCATTGTCGACTATTTCTATTATCGATTTTTGTCGACAACATCGACGAATCGTTGCAGCCCTAGTTCGAGATCTTGTCTCTGCTGAACGAGCTTGTGGATGGTAGCTCGCGCCAGTAGCGGTTCTAGGCACGGGCGAACCGAGCAGTCACCCGGGGCGGCATCTCTTCATGTCACATGGGGGGCGGCACAAGCAGTTAAAAAATCCTCCGTGCCGCGAAGGTTTTCTATTTTTTATCATTTCGATTCAATTATTGGCAATGGCGCCCCTGCTTGCTGAGAAGGTGCCGTGCTCAGAAGCGATGTCAAGGGGGTCTCTTGATTAGTTCACATATCGCGTCTTTTGCACGCTCAAGGTCGTTATTTCAAATAGGCGATTAGGCGAACGGGAAGCGCGCTCATTTTGGGCACACGCTCGAAGGGGGTCTCGCCCTGGGTGTAATTCAAAGTTGAACCGCCACTGGCTTGGGCCTCTTGCGAGTGTCTTTTGCAGGCCGTGGCTTTCGAGTCTCTTCAAGTTCAGTCTCTGTTCTTTGCAAAGAGAACTTCACTTTATCAGAGTTTCTCGTTGAGTTCCTCTCTGGTTATTTTCTCTGACTGCTCTCTTCGTTCTGTGTGCAGATGAAGATTAGACAGGGCAGTTTGAAGTCTTTCCAATTCCTTCTGTAGCTCGGGGTCATTGTCATCCTCGGCTTGCATCCTTAGCGTTGCAACTTCGTGCTCCAGGGCGATGCGGCTCCTTTCGTGGAGGTGTGCTTGTACGATGAACTGGCGAGCGAGGTTTTTGACGTGCCGGGCCCAGTCTTTGTCGTGGGGGCTTGGTTTGTGCGCCATCAGCTTGTCCTTGTCTGCGTCCAGCTGCTCTTGGCTCGGGGGCTTTGAGTCACTGGGCAGGGATGGAGGTGTCATGGATCTCAGCCATGTCTCCAGGTTGTCCCAGCGGGTTGTGGGACTGTAGGACCGGAACATACTGGCTTCACTGTGGGCGAGAGGAACACGTTTAACGAGCTATAATACAGGCTATGCAGTGTATGAAAATTTTGGTTAACTGATGCAGACAATTGGGTAGGTCAGCATGGGCCTGAATAAAGTTTTTTGACATGGCGGTAGCTTAGGGGTCACCTGTTGATGCTAACAGCTTGATTGTCAACCTATTACTCAGCTTTCCTTGGTATCTCAGATAGGTTTTGTCTTTAGGTGAACTGAAAGGAACACAGCACAACAGAAAAGAGCAATGGCAAGATAGCAAAGTTTGATATAACATGCAACCATCAAAGATGGAAAGGTCTGTAATGAAATGGTGTTAATAGTAGGGCTGAATTCTAATAGTCGAGAATTCAACGAAAACGTATTGGCTTCCATGTTATTTACCCGTATTTTCCGCACTTTAAGGCGCACCGGATTATAAGGCGCACCTTCAATGAATTACCTATTTTAGAACATTTTTCATATATAGGGCGCACCAGATTATGAGGCGCATAAGATACTGCAGTCAAACGTTTGACTGGGTTTGCGTTATGCATCAACTAGTTGTGCTGAGAATGTAGCGAGTGCACGGCGTCGGAGGTGAGGCTTTTATTAGAGTGAGCGCACTGTGGAATTCAAAACTGAATTCTAATAGTCGAGGATTCAACGATTCGATTTGGAGAGGTCTGATTCGACTATGAACGTTATAGTCGAATAATACACGGCCAGTTCAACCTCGTATAAATCAGGTTATGTGTGTCTCCCGCTCACAAGCGCTCACTCTTAACAGACACACGAACAGACACACTGTCCCCGGCACTGCTCGTGAGACACAGAATGTTCATCATGCGCTCCCCGTTCACAGTAACAGGGTCGTCTCATTGAAAACAGCCAGCCGTTGCTGTCAGCGAGCCGCCGCACATTGAATACTCATGAGTCAGGCTGCGAATGTAAGTTACGTGCCCGCCCCAGCACGCTCACATTAATAAACGCCTCACCTCTGAAGCCGCGCACTCGCTACATTCCCAGCACATCTGGATGCATAACACAAACCCAGTCAAACGTTTGACTGCAGTATCTTATGCGCCTTATAATCCGGTGTGCCTTAAAGTGCGGAAAATACGGTATACATGTGTTTTATATTTAGCCTGAAATAGACAAGCATTCATGCGTGACAAAAAATCTTTGTTTTAGGAGGCAATATATATATATATATATATATATATATATATATATATATATATATATTGTAATTCTGTGAATCACACTGCTCAAATCAGATGAGGAAGGGTTGGCTCTCCACAAAACATAAAATATTATTTTTCGTGTTCACAGAGGAAAAAACAATGTTACAGACGTGACAGTTCTCCGACGGACACGAGCGCTCTGAAGCAGCACTTAAAGACTGCTTTAAAACTTTCACAGACCTCAAACAGAAAAAAACGTCTCGGTTACGTATGTAACCCTCGTTCCCTGAGTAGGGAACGGAGACGTTACGTCAGAAGTGACGGAGATTGGGGGGTTTCGCATAGAAAGCCAATCCTCTTCGAGTATTTAAACACGAGCCAATGGCATGCAATGCCTTGGGGCTGCGGAAATTTGCATAGCGTACTCCGCCCTACTCCGTGAGTATAAAAGGAGGAAGTGAACGCAACCGCAGTATGTCTTCGCTGAGGAGCCAAGACTGAACTCGGCGTCTACCCAGCGATACAGCAGAAGTGGCAGGGAGACGTAACGTCTCCGTTCCCTACTCAGGGAACGAGGGTTACATACGTAACCGAGACGTTCCCTTTCGTAGTCACTTCGAGTTACGTCAGAAGTGACGGAGATTGGGGGTCTGTGCCATCACGCCAACTTCAGGCTGTCTTCCAGTGCCCTGCGAAAGTCTGAACCCCCGAGCCTTACCTGTTTTTCTTAGGGGATCCGACTTAGACACAGGATTACCAAGGTACACTGGGAAACATATCCCGAAGGGGACATGCTACCAGCTGCCTACCGAAGGGAGGACTTACGAATACACATATGGCCACATAGGAACACATATGGAATCACTGGAGCACCAACCGCAGGTGGCTACTAATTTCAGCTCCAGGGGTGGCAGATGGCTTGCCAAGGGAAGACACATGCTCAGAGAGGCTTACAGTGGATAATACACATGAGACGGTTACCAAGGGGGAACCGTACGCATGGAGGCACCTAGCCAGCATCCAGAGCCACAGCAGTGGTGCCCGCATCGTCGGTGCTGGAGGACTCAAGGCTTCAATGGAAGAACTGAGGAAATATCGCACTTATCCAGTCCGGGGAGTGGAGTGGCGAGCAAGCGAAGACACCTGAGCGGATCCAGAACTGGCCGAAACGAGTACGTGAGAGGATACCGGCTCAATTCACAGATTATAGAATCTGGCGAAGGTGTTGGGTGTCGCCCAGCCTGCAGCTCTGCAGATGTCTGTTAGCGAGGCGCCGTGCGCTAAAGCCCAAGAGGAGGCCACACTCCGAGTGGAATGGGCCGTCACACCAAGGGGGCACGGAAGGCCTTGCTGCTGGTAAGACAAAGCAATGGCATCCACAATCCAGTGGGACAGCCGTTGCTTTGAGAGAGCCCTTCCCTTCTGGCTCCCTCCATGACAGACAAAGAGCTGGTCTGAGGTCCTGAAACACTGCGTTCTGTCGACATAGGTGCGGAGAGCACGTACCGGACAGAGCAGTGCCAAGGCTGGGTCTGCCTCCTCCGGGGGCAGCGCTTGCAGGTTCACCACCTGGTCCCGGAAGGGAGTGGTGGGAACCTTGGGCACATATCCAGGCCGGGGTCTCAGGATCACGTGAGAGTAAGCCGGCCCGAACTCCAGGCACGCTTCGTCAACGGAGAATGCGTGCAGGTCCCCCACCCTCTTGATGGAGGCCAATGCAACCAGGAGTGCTGTCTTCAAGGACAGAAACTTTAACTCTACCGATTGCAAAGGCTCAACGGGATGCCTCTGCAGAGCACTTAAAACTACCGAGAGGTCCCAAGAGGGTACGAGGGGAGGACGAGGCGGATGCAGCCTCCTCGCTCCCCTCAGGAACCTGATGACCAGGTCGTGCTTCCCTAAGGACTTACCTTCCACTGCTTCATGAGAAGCGGCAATGGCCGCGACGTAAACCTTAAGGGTGGAGGGCGACAGCCTGCGCTCCAACCCTTCTTGCAGGAAGGAAAGCACGACACTGATCGAACATCTCCGGGGGTCTTCTCCGCGAGAAGAGCACCAATTGACGAAGAGGTTCCACTTTAACGCATCAAGGTGTCTCGTGGACGACGCTCTTGCGGAAGTGATGGTTGCCGCCACCGCAGGTGGCAGCGAACTCAAACCTGCCTCGTGCCGTCCAGGAGCCACACGTGCAGCCTCCAAGATCGGGACGAGGGTGCCACAGAGTGCCCCGTCTCTGAGAGAGTATCTTGTCTCAGAGGAATAGGCCAAGGAGGTGCTGTCGCGAGGAGCAAGAGATCGGAGAACCACGTCTTGGTGGGCCAGTAGGGGCTACCAGCAAGACCTGCTCCTCGTCCTCCTTGATCTTGCACAACACCCGTGCAAGGAGGCTCACTGGGGAAACGCATACTTGCGTGGGCCCCGTGGCCAGCTGTGCGCCAGCGCATCCGAGCCGAGAGAGCCGCGGGTCAGAGAATAAAACTGGGCGCAGTGGGACGAGTCCCGAGAGGCGAACAGGTCTATCTGTGCCTCCCCGAACTCGTCCCAATCAGCTGGACCGACTGGGGATGGAGTCGCCATTCGCCGGAGAGGGGACGGACCCGGGACAGCTCGTCGGCTGCCCAGTTCCGGTCTCCAGGAATGTAAACTGCACGAAGGGACCTCAGGTGCTTCTGACTCCATATCAAGAGGTGGCGGGCGAGCTGCGACAACTGGCGTGAGCGTAGACCCCCCTGGTGGTTGATGTACGCTACTGCCGTAGTGTTGTCTGAGCGGACAAGCACATGCTGGCCCTTGAGCAACGCTCGGAAGCGGTGTAGGGCGAGCCGTACTGCCAACAGCTCGAGGCAATTGATGTGCATGAGGCGCTGGGCTCCTGTCCAGGAACCGGCGGCTGCATGCCCATTGCACATGGCACCCCAACCCGTGGTAGATGCATCCGTGGAGACAACGAGATGCCTGGAAACTCGCTGAATAGGGACGCCGGTCCGTAAGAAGCTGAGGTTCGACCACGGGAAGAAGGTTCGGCGGCACGCTGGAGTCACTGGAACTCGGAGCGAGCCGCGATGCCATGCCCACCTCGGGACTCGATCGCGAAGCCACAGCTGAAGCGGTCTCATATGAAGCAAACCGAGCGGCGTTGCCGCGGCCGCGGATGCCATATGCCCCAGGAGCCTCTGAAATAGTTTCAGTGGAACCGCACTCTTGCCCTCGAACTGTCGAAGACAAGTCAGCAGTGAGTGCGCGCGCTCGTTCGTGAGCTGCGCGGCATGGCGACCGAGTCTATCTCCATGCCGAGAAAAGAGATCCTCTGCACGGGGCAAAGTTTGCTCTTTTCCCGGTTGACCCGAAGGCCCAAACGGGCTAGGTGCCGGAGCACCAAGTCTCTGTGTTCGCAAAGCTGAGCTCGAGAGTGTGCTAGTATCAGCCAGTCGTCGAGATAATTCAGGATGCGAACCCCGTGTTCGCGAAGGGGAACAAGGGCTGCCTCGACGATCTTCGTGAAGACGCGAGGGGACAGAGCTAACCCGAATGGGAGAACGGCGTACTGATATGCCTGGCCCTCGAAGGCAAACCGAAGAAACGGTCTGTGTCGAGGTAAGATGGACACATGGAAGTGCGCGTCCTTCAGGTCGATCGCTGCAAACCAATCCTGATACCGAACACATTCGAAAATGCGTTTGGCCGTGAGCATTTTGAACGGTAGTCGATGGAGAGAACGGTTCAAAATGCGCAGGTCCAGGATCGGTCGTAACCCACCGGTCTTCTTGGGGACAATGAAGTAGGGGCTGTAAAACCCGGACTCCACCTCGGCTGGAGGGACCGTCTC